TTTGTGGCAAGTTTGGGGATCCTAGTTCAGTTTTTGTGGTCGGGTGGTGGGTTGGTTGGTTGTTTGCTTGCTTGCTTGCTTGCTGAGCTGTTGTTGGACCAGTGAGTCGTGTTGGTCGGCTGATGGATTGGTTGGTTGGCTGGAACAGACATAATGAGGATTTCGAAAAAACTGAACATGGACTCAAATTTCACGAAATTTTTTCTGATGATTTTTTCTCCCTTTTCTTGCTTGCAGTGGTCTCCCACTTTCTTTTCTTTTTTTTTTTTTTTTTTGAAAAAGGGCAACGGCCTTGAGGTATCACTCTTGAGCTGACCGGCCCAGGTAATTCAGAATTATTTTGTAATTTTTGTTCTGTCCATCTGATTGCATCTGGATTCAGACTTGGGTCCGTTTTTCAACAGCTCATAGGTGTATCGACTGGGCCTAGGCCCGTTGGCGTTGGTGGTCCCCCTGCCCCCCTCCCTTTTTTTTTTTTTTTTTAGTTTGGTAACTTTGGTCCATAATTTGTCGATTTATGCTTGTCATCGTCGCGCACAGGGGCCATGCTAATCATCATTTTTTTTCTGTGTATCGTTCCAATTTTAACGGATTGCCCGAGGGACAGTCTCCACCATTTTTGTCTTCCTCATTTGATGATTTTTTTTCAATCAGGATGTCAAACAGACATGGGGCCTCGCTGTACTACTCTCCACAATGGCAATGCATGTTTCCATGTTCTAGTGGAGTATTCAGTCAAATTTTGCACATTGGAGAGCAGTGCAGCGAGGCCCATCATCCTCCAACAGAAATTACTGGCAGCCGGGGCGGGGGGAGCCAGTCAAAGTAGTTCGGGAAAAAATCTTGGACTTGGAAAAAAAGAAAAATTATTCGATCAATTGTTTTGTGAATTTAGAACAAAATTACAGGGGCACTTGGAGGGATTTTCTTTTTACCCTCTAATTTTTTTTTTTGTTTCATTTTCGTAATATAATAATATTTTCCTCCCCATACTTCCTGTAATGGTTTTTTTTTTTTTTTTTTTTTTTTTTTTTTTAAACAAACGCAACTTGCATTATAAAACCGGGAAACGGGCCCGACGTCCCTCACATGAATGCCGTAGCCAAACCAGGCTGGGAGAGGCACTTCCGGCCAGTCCCATCCCCAACCACGGTCCTCCCACAATGAAGACGCCTGTCTTTAGCCCATCCCGTGCAGATCTATGCAAAAGGACAAAGTAATGAAAGTCTATGTCATTCAATTACCCTAATCTACATTAATGCTGCTAACCCTCAATTTTAATCCTTTTCTAATGTCAAGTTTTGTATCAATTAACACTAATTAAAATTATCTACAAGCAGAAACAACCACACAAATTCCTCACCTATACACTCTCAATTACCGTAATCATCCCTAATACTAATGGTGAATTAACCCTAATATAGTGTCGAGTTTTTATCAATTAAACCTAAATTATCTACCGTGCAAAAAACCCTAATCATCACCAACACTTGACCCTAATATAGTGTCGAGTTTATATCAATTAAAACTAAATTATCTACCGAGCAGAAACCGTAATCATCACCAATACTTGAACCGAAATGGAATCCCTATTGAGCCTTACTTAACCAAAACCTCAAGAACATCACAGAGTGTTTCCAGTTGACAATTAGAAGATCATAATAAAACAATTTCGAGTGAGGTAGATTTCCAATGAGCAAATGTTCCACTCTCTCTGATCCAACAGCCAAAGGGTATTTCAGTCAAAAGGCTACAAAGGGTGGCAAGCCTAGTGTGGGATGCAGCAGGTGAAGATTGTCCAGGACGACAGGCTTGATGGGGGCGGCAGCAAGCCTGGCATTATGGATGATCTCCACCATATGGACAATTGGATATGGATGACGATTGATAAATGATAGGTAGTGGGCGAGGCGATTGGAAATGGATGACGAGTGATGAATGATAGGTAGTGAGTGATGGGTGATGGGTAATCCGCTGTTAATGGGTAGCGGGGGATTA